TGGTCAAATCTCGTGATGCTTCCTATTCATGCGACCATCTTATCCCACGGGCGAAGGAGTGGATAATGTACTGAAGGGAGGATGCACTTTTTAACTGGTATTTGCTCGTCAAATAGAACCCCACGTTATCATTCTTTCGCCGATACCGTAACCTCGTGGGATTGACAATCACTTTGACTGCGATCATTGTTTATGAGGGGTGCAGGGAATTCCCGATAAGCCATCGGATAGGCGTTGTTTTGTAACCCAACGTTAGAGGATCGCAACGTCCACTGGCAAAGTCATAGTCCACATTTTCCAAGTTGCCGATTTCTTATTTACGGAAAAGGTTTAACAAAAATGTGTGTGCATGTAAAAGTGATCTCTGCCCAAGAACTTCGCTTGATGTTGATTCTGTTTGGTAAAAGAGGTTGTCTGGTCAACGTTTTCTGCAAGTTTATGTATGCGTCTTTAATTTCTCCATCACCGTGGAAGTTCTTCCAAAACAGGGTCGAGGGTATTCCAACTGGCAGCTCGGCAAAATTTGTTCTTCAAGTTTATGCCGTAGATAAAAGGAATCTGAAGTGAGCATTTGCTAAGGGCAGGCTGCTAAGATAATTTCAATCTCCTTCCAGTCTCCTGCTTTCTCTCCCGCTTTTTGTTGCCCTTTTAAATTTTGCTCTAGTCGGCATGGTTTTATGGTCCACAATTTTATGGATCGGACAAGTTTTCTGGCAATTTACTCTCACCATCCACGAATGAACTCTCAACAATTTTCGATGCTGCGTGAATGAATGGACATGTTGTCGTTAACGCCTACTGAATCCTTGTTTCTGCTGTGTAGGGTCGAAATTTGGCGGAACTGCGTCGCAGCATGCCCCGTGGCGTCTTTTCCCTCAGCACCGTAGTACGTCTTTCCGCCCAAATGCTTGATGCCATAGAGGCGGTGCATGACAGCGGTTTCCTCCACCGCGACATTAAGCCCTCCAACTTTGCCATGGGCCGGGGAACAGGCTCGGCATCCCGTACCCTCTATCTCCTTGACTTCGGACTGGCGCGTCAGTACACCAACGCGGAAGGTGAGGTGCGACCAGCTCGTCCAGTAGCCGGATTTCGCGGTACTGTACGCTATGCCTCGCGCAATGCCCACGCCAATAGGGAGTTGGGACGGCACGATGATCTCTGGTCGATGTTTTACATGCTGGTGGAATTCGCTTCTGGCCAACTTCCGTGGAGGCGGCTTAAGGATAAAGAACAGGTTGGCATTCATTGTGTCCATTAGTCTTGGGTACCTTTCTCGTATCCTTCGCATAGCTGAGCTTGGGCGAAACATGCTGGAGGCATATTGTACGAATAGGTCCGGATTGGAGTGCAGTCCATTTTGAGCTACAAAAATTGCTGACACGGTTGTGTTAATTTCAACGAGTCGGATGGTCCTAAACTGTTCATGGTGGATGATTTTTTTTATCGCACATCGAATTCATGGCACTTTTTCTCACTGTTTAAGTAAAGAGTGCATCGCAATCAGTTTTGTTATCTTTACAACAGATAACTCTTTTCCTCCATGTAAACATTAACAGTTAATTATTTTTTTTTGTGGGAATCGTTCGTTTTTTTCCGTGCTGGGTTTTCAAATGTCTTTAAGTTATTAGCTTTGCTGATAGGAGATGTATCGGCTGCCACT